TTTTTTGAGTGCCAATTCCTTCACGATAGCAATGTGCAAGATTACATTGTCCCAAATGGTTTCCACCTTCGGCAGATTTTTCAAACCAGTAGAATGCCTTTGAGAATTCTTTCCTTGTGCCTATTCCATCTTTGTAACATTTTCCAAGATTATTTTGATCCCAATAATTTTCACTTTCAGCGAATTCTGAGTACAAAGAAAATTTCGAAGGATCCTTAAAAAATTGATTAAAAATCGTCATTATGATTTCTCTTGAAATTTTTTAAACCTACTATATTAAAATATGACAGAGTAATGAATACTTACTTCATTTTTCGTCATTAGGTTTATAAATAAAAAACGAAGCGTTAAGTATTAATATAATTTATAAGTATAATCAGAATAATTGGTATACATACGAATCGAAACATTCTCCCATTCTTCATTCTCCCATATTACCACCTGATTGTGATCATATTCTTTAGCCTTTACACAAGCTTCTTTAGTATGAATCAATAAGTCATTAAAAGTTTTTACCGAGGAATTCACTCCAGAAATACCAATGCTGAGCGTAATCGACTGCAGTTTTTTCTCTTTAAAATTAAACAGATAAGCAGATCTAATTTCCTTAGCAATTTCATGGGCCGCCTCTAAGCATGTATCAATAAGAAGAATAACAAATCTAGTAAATCCTTTTTCCTCATATTTAGAAAAAATATCTTTATCATTAAGATGTTCATTTTGAATTAACATTGTTAATTCTTTTAAAACATCATCCTCGATTTCTTTAAAATCTAAATCAAAAAACATTAAACACAATTTTTTATTATTTTTAAATTCATCTTCCAATCGTTTCTGCAAGTATGTAGTGTTATAAATTTGTAAAAGTGGATCATTGTTGTCTTTAAATTCTCCTGCGGGAAGATATCGAAAAGTACTACATCCTATTTTAATCTCGTCATTTTTTTTTAAAATATGTAAACGAGATTCAGATTTTCCATTAATAAAAATTTCTGATTTAGAATCAATGCGGAAAATTTTAACTTCTCCACGATAATTTATAATTTTTGCATGCTTTTTATTAACTTTTTGGTCCTTTATAATGATATAATTTGAATCGTTCCTTCCTAAATGTATTTCTCTTTCAGGGAGGAAAAGGTATT